CAGCTGTTCCGTGGGAGAAAGATGAGGCTTTCTGCTCCCATTAAGATTTACAGCCTCGGAAACCCTGTACAGGGTCGCTATGGGTCGGAATCAACTTGACAGCACTTAACAACAACAACATACAGTATACAGTCTTGTGTCAGAAAGACATGGCTCAAATGCTATGTGTGAACAGAGTATGTGATTTAAGTTCTTTGAGTCAATTTCCTCATCTGTATACAAATCTATAGGGTTGTTCTAAGGAATGGATGAGATAATGTATATAAAAGGCTTAGCATTGCATTTGACCAGAACAAACCTACAATATAGTGAAACAAGCAGTCAGTTCTCATAGAACATAACCAAGATGAATAGTTATGTCCTATAAAGTCACTGTTAATACTCAAATAGCACACACTGACCCATTGCTCCTGGAGGAAATACAGAGTTAGGTTCTGACACATCTCTGGTCACATTTTTTTTTGTCAGCCAATTTATATATAGTCTTGTTTTATGTATGTTTCTATTTAAAGACACTTCATTTAATACATACGAACTCATGACCGGTGGAAGCTTAGCTAATGCACATATTTTCACTCTGTGCTAAAGAACATTAGGCAGCACTTCAGTGCCACACTTGGCAAATTTTAATCAGCAAAATTACCAACAAAAAGCACAAAAATGTGAAAGACATTACGCTATACAAACTTCAAAAAAGGACACTTGTTTATGAGCATAGCAAGAGAGTTAGAAGAAGGCAAAGTGCCACCTTTTCCATCTAAACTGGGAACATGTGTGACTCACATTTTCTCACTGCTCTGTGCATGTTCACAAATGACCATAAAAATGCTCTGAACGTTAATATTAGAGTTACAAAACAACCTTAGTAAGTAGGCAAATTCATGTATAAAGAATCTACAAATAATGACAATCAATAGGAACTGTCATTTTTTGTCTGTTGTGGCTATGGTAGGGCAATTTAATAAACTCTTGGATGGATTTCTTTTATTTCAGATTTCTGAGGGGGACTCCTATTCACCAAGTACAAATTTACTAAGTGCCAGAATCTCGGTCCAGTTGTCTACTAACCAACATTTTTCAGGGTATGTTAAAAATCAGCAAATATGAGTGTTGCTTGTTCATTCTTGCTTTCTTTTGTCATTAAAACTATTCAAGGAAAACAATTTTCCGATACTATACACCACTCATCTGTCAGTTTGCTATACTGTGGGTTTGCATGTTTCTGTGATGCTAGAAGCAATGCCATTGATATTTCAACTACTAGCAGGATCAACCATGGTGAAGAGTTTTCAGTAGACCTTCCAGACTAAGACTGACTAAGAAGAATCTACTTCTAAAAAAAATCAGCTTTGTGAAAACATCATGAATAGCATGGGAACATTGTCTGCTATAGTGCTGTAGGATGAGTCTCTCAAGTTGGAGGACACCGAAACACAACTGGGAAAGAAGCTAAGAGTCAGCCTTAATGCTGTGGTTGGAGTAAAGCTTTCTGGGTCTTCATTTGCTGATTTGACATAACTTAGAATGAGAAGGAACAGCTGCATGCATCCATTAATAGTTGAAATGTAGAATATACAAAGTATGAGTCTAGGAAATGGAGAACATAAAAATCAATATCCTAGACATTGGTAAGCTGAAATCAACTGGTATTGGCCATTTTCAATCATTCACGTGGCTTATTATGCCAGGAATGACAAGGAAGAAAGATGTCACATTCATTGTCAAAAAAACACTTCAAGATCTATCTTAAAGTTCAGTACTATCTGTGATAGGATCATATTCATTCATACACCTACAAAAAGACCAGTTAATAGGACTGTTGTGTTGTTGTTAAGTGCCATGGAGTTAGTTCCAGCTCATAGTGAACCTGTATTGGGTTTTTGAGGAGCAGCTGGTGAATTTGAACCACCGGACTTGCAGTTCAAACTGACCTTGCAATCCAGTGCTTATCTTACAGCACCACACTAGGACTCCTACTATTAAAATTTACACACCAACCACTAATTCCAAAGATAAGGAAATTGAAAATTTTTACTAACTTATGCAGTCTGAAATTGATCAAATATGCAATCAAGATGCATTGATGATTATTGGTTATTGGAATATGAAAGTTAGAAAACAAAGAAGAATAAGTAATTGGGAAATATGGTCTGTGGCTAGAAATGACATTGGAGATCTTGTGATGAAATTTTACACCAATGACATTCATTGGAATACCTTTTTTCCACAACATAAATTTCACCTTTACACATGGACCTCACGTGATAGAATACACAAGAAACAAATCAGCAACATCTATGAAAAGAGATCATGGAGAGGCTCAGTATCATTAGTCAGAACATGGTTAGGGGTTAACTGCAGGGCAGACTATTAATTTCTCATATTGTTGTTAAGTGGTATCAAGTAGGTTCCGACCCATAGCAATCCTGTATCGGGTTTCCAAGGAGTGGCTGGTGGGTTTGAACCACCAACCTTGTGGTTAGCAATCCAGTGCTTTTCCTACAGCACCACACCAGTTCAAGCAGAATCTGAAGAAAATTAAAACAAGTCCACTATAGCCAAAGTATGACCTTGAACATATCCCACCTGAACATCTCTAGAACAGATTTGATTTATTGAACACTAATGACTGAAGACAAGATAAGTTGTGGGATGACATCAAAGGCATCACATATGAAGAAAGCAAAAGCCATTGAAAAGAAAGAAAAGACCAAAGTGAAAGTGAGAAGAGACTCTTCGGCTTACACTTGAACATAGAAAAGTTAAAGTGATTGGAAAAATGGTTACATAAAAGATTTCAAAGGGAATTTCAAGAACACAAAATAAAAGTATTATACCGAAGAGTACAAAGAATTACAAACCCAAAGGCAGAACATCTTCAGCATGATTCAAAATGAAAGAACTGGGAGGGATAGTATTTAAGCTGTGAGTTGCAATATTGAAGGATTCTACTGGGAGCAACCATGACTCATCTGTCAGTTTGTCATACTGTGGTGGCTTGTGGGTTGCTGTGATTCTGAAAGCTATGCCACAGGTATTTTAAATACCAGCAGGGTCATCCATGGTGGACAGGTTTCAGATGAGCTTCCAGACAAAGGCAGACTAGCAAGAAAGAGTGGCAAACTACTTCTGAATATTTAGTAACTGAAAACCATATGAATAGCAAAGAAACACTGTCAGATATAGTGTTGGAAAATGAGCCCCTCAGGTTGGATGATATTCAAAATGTGACTGGGGAAGATCTGCCTCCTGAAAGTAGAGTTGACCGTGATAACTTGAATGGAGTAAAGTCCATGGGAGAAAAGCACACGGGACCTTCATTTACTAATGGGCCACAACTCAAAATGAAGAGAAACAGCTGTAAATATCCATTGAAAATCAGAACATGGAATGTATGAAGTATGAATCTGGGAAAATTGAAAGGTGTCAAAAATGAAATGGAATGCATAAACATCGATATTTTAGGCAATAGTGAGCTGAAATGGGCTGGTATTGGCCATTTTGAATCTGACAACCACATGGTTTACTATGCTGGGAATGACAAATTGAAGAGGAATAGTGTTGCATTCATTATCAAAAAGAACATACCCAGGTCAGTCATGAGGTACAATGCTGTCTGT